AAAAATCTTACCGACAACAACTTCAATGATTGGAGCCAAGAGATGACTAATTTTTTGTTCGCCAAGAACAAAATTGGCTTTTTCGATGGTTCTCTTCTTAAACCCGACAAAAGTGATGACAAGTATATGACATGGATGCGGTGTGATGCTATGATCAAAGGATGGCTTACCACCGCCATGGACAAGGAGATACGAAGCAGTGTGAAGTACGCTAACACGGCTCTCGAGATCTGGAACGACTTACATGAAAGATTCGGGAAGGAAAGTGCACCAAGAGAATATGAACTCAAGCAATCCATCACGCAGACACGCTAATAAGGAACTTCTATTTCAACCTACTATACCAAAATGAGAAGTATATGGGATGAAATAGATTTCGTCTTACCAACACCACGGTGTGAATGCGACGGCTGCAGTTGCAATATCGGGAAGAAGATCACAGAACTCAAAGAAAAGGAAAGGTTCTATGAGTTTTTGATGGGTATTGATGCCGAGTTTTCGGTTATGAGAACCCAAATACTTGCTACAAAGCCAACACCAAACCTTGGTACAACATACCACATGGCAGCAAAAGACGAGCAACAGTGAAACATTATTGCTGGAAGGAAAATTAAAACCACTCCCGATGCAGCGGCTTTTCAGACTTCGCAACAAGTTAGCCATGAGAACCAGAACCACAAAAGGAGTTGGCAAAAGACTGACAAGACGAGCTCCAAAAGCAAATCGGGGCACTGCACCTTCTGTGGAAGAGATGGACATGTTAGAGACATATGTTTCAAGCTTGTCGGCTACCCAGACTGGTGGCCGGAAAAAGGAAAGAAGGAGACAATGAAGCCGAAGGCAACCTTGGCTGAAACTGGTATCGACAAGATACCAGGATTGACCGACCAACAATATGAGATGTTTCTCAAAGTATTTGGCAAGAACAATGACAATAGAACCAACAACACTCCTAAGGCAAACATGGCAGGTAAATTTAACAATGAAAATGACTGGATAATTGATTCAGGGGCAACCGAATGTATGACCTATAATCGGGAGTCTCTTGAAAACCTCACTACTAGAGGTAAAGAATTATCGGTCACTATCCCCAATGGTGAAACCATTCCTGTAAAAGGAAACAATGAACTCAATTTTAAAGGGAGCACCACCAAATTTCAAATGTAACCTTCTGTCTGTTAGTCAACTAACAAAAGATTTGAAATGTGCCATCACTTTCTTCCCGGATTTCTTTGTCATACAGGGCTTGAGGACGAGGGACTTGATTGGAATGGGTAAGTGCATTGGTGGACTTTACAGAATGGGGATCATGCAAGAAGATCGGAAGGCTATGGCAGTCACTACCTCAAATCAATGGCATAAAAGACTTGGTCACCTATCGAATAAAAAGTTATCTCATATTTCTTTGTGTAAGGATTTTAGTCATAATTCTAAGGATGTTTTTTGTGATTCATGTTTGAGAGCTAAATTAACTAGACTCCCTTTTCCAACGAGTACAATAAAAACAAATGATTGTTTTGATATGATTCATTGTGATATTTGGGGCGGCTATTGAACCTTTTCGCTTACACATGGAAGTTATTTCCTCACTATAGTCGATGATTATAGTCAGGCAGTTTGGATTTACATAATCAAACATAAATATGAGGCAAGTGACTACTTGATCAGTTTTTATAACCTCATCCAAACGCAATTCCAAAAGAATATAAAACGAATCAGGTGTGACAATGGAGGAGAGTTCAACTCCAATCACATGAGAAGCTTATATGCAGATCACGACATTGAGCTCGAGACAACCTGTTCACACACCCCACAACAAAATGGGGTTGTAGAGAGAAAGCATAGACACCTTTTGGAGATAGCACGCGCTTTAAGGTTTGAAGGAAAATTGCCCATAAGGTTTTGGGGGGAATGCGTCCTAACGGTTGCATACATCATCAACAGGTTACCATCCAAGGTAATCAAATACAAAACACCCTATGAGATAATGTATGGAAAAGAACCTCCTTATGAGCACATGCGTGTTCTAGGTTGTTTGGCTTATTTATGGAACACCGAAACAAAGGGAGATAAATTTGCTCCGCGAGGAAAGGAGGGGGTATTTTTGGGATACCCTTTTGGTACAAAAGGTTATAAGGTCTATGATTTAGAAAAATGAAAAATCATCGTTAGCCGAGATGTGAAGTTTATAGAAAATGTTTTTCCATTTTCCAGTCATAAAGAGAATGTTGATCAGGGAGAAAATGAGATCATTGATGAATATCAACAAATTAATGGGCTTGAGCATGATACAGAGAACAATTTACAGCATGATGATAAGGCTATACAAGATGATCCCAACACATCTCTAGAAGAAGATGTGACCGACGGTGTGAACTCTTCTGTGCAATATAATGAGCCCAATAGCCCACTTGGTGATACGACACAGGCTCGTGAAACCAATAGCGATCCACTACTTTATGATGCTAACACACGACGTCAAAGTCATAACAATTTGGGCCGTACGTCTCAACGAACCAAGGTTCAACCAGCTCATTTCAAGGATTATGAAATAAACATCCCACCTTCTGTCGATCATGCACACCCAAGCTCCGATCAAGTCTCATCCACGGTACATCCTCTAGCTCACTATATGTCTTATGACAAATTTTCTACCAAACACAAAAGTTTTCTTGTGGCCATCATGTCACATGATGAGCCCAAAACCTTCTTTCAGGCTTCACAAGATGAAAAATGGCGAGATGCCATGAAACGAGAAATCAAGGCACTTGAAGAGAATCGAACATGGTCTCTAGAATCTTTACCTGATGGGAAGAAGGCGATAGATTCTAAATGGGTGTACAAGATTAAATATAAACCAAACGGCGAGATCGAGCGTTACAAAGCTAGGCTTGTAGCGAAGGGATTTATGCAAATGGAAGGTGTGGACTACCACGACACCTTTGCACCCGTTGCAAAATTAGTATCAATGCAAACTCTCCTCACCTTGGCCGTAAAGAAAGACTGAATTATACACCAATTAGACGTCAAAAATGTGTTCTTACATGGTGATCTCAACGAGGAGGTATACATGAAGCTTCCGCAAGGTTTCTTAAAAGACAACGATACCCGTGTTTTCCGTCTCAAAAAGTCCCTATATGGTCTTAAGAAAGCATCACACAATTGGTACCATAAGTTCACACGTGCTTTGTTGGAGCTTGGTTTCACTCGGTCCAAGGCAGATTACTCATTGTTCGTGTATAATAAAAATGAAGTTTTTGTGGCAGTTATGATCTATGTTGATGATGTGATTGTGGTTGGAAATAACATGAACATGATTCAATACTAAAAGATTTAGTATTAAAGACCTTTGCACCTTGAAGTATTTTTTGGGTATAGAAGTGGCTCGCACGAAGGAGGGTTTAGTTCTTAGTCAACGAAAATATACCCTGGACATCTTGGAAGACAGTGGGTTACAAGGATGTCGTCCAAGTGGCTTCCCCATGGAACAAAACCTCAAACTTGTCAAGAATGAAGAAGAGGAGAAAGTTGACGCGGGCAAGTACAAACGCTTGGTCGGTCGATTGTTGTATCTACAAGCCACACGTCCGGACATTACATACTCTGTAAACGTGTTAAGCCAATTTGTCTCCGATCCTCGACAAAACCATATGAATGCTGTTACTCGTGTGTTAAGGGACTTAAAAACAACTCCGGGTCAAGTCATTTTGATACCCCGACAGGGAGGGATGAAATTAGTTTCTTACTGTGATGCCGATTGGCTTGGCTGTCCATTCTCGAGGCGATCTCGTATCGGCTATTTACTTCTACTTGGTGGTGCTCCCATATCATGGAAGTCTAAGAAACAATCGATTGTTTCTCGTTCCTCGACAGATGCAGAGTACAGGGCCATGACCAACACAGTTAGCGAAATATTATGGGTACGGTCATTACTAAAGGAACTTTGTGAAGCACCTACAGAAGGAACTACTCTGTTCTGTGACAACTTGGCTGCTAAACACATTGCAAACAACCCGGTCTTCCATGAAAGAACGAAGCATGTAGAAAAGGATTGTTACTTTGTTCGAGAACTCGTTGAGTCAGATGAGGTACGACCCACGTATATTAGTACCACGAATCAGATAGCTGACCTCTTTACCAAGCCATTGGGAGCTCAACATCTTCGAGGCTTACTTGTCAAGTTGGGCATGCGAGATTTACACGCTCCAACTTGAGGGGGAATATTGGAACATATATTTTGCTGGCGATCTTATTGATCATTATCCTTATTCATTAGTTTTATTTTCTTATCTTTATCTTGTTTTCTGTTTCCTTTATTTAAGGATTGATTAGTTAGCCTCTTCTTTTGTATTTAAGAACGATGTCATTGGTTTCAATATGAACAAGAAGAACAACGTTGAACCTCTCTGTTTATCATTTTCTTCACTTAAACTGCTAAATGTGATGTAAGAAACAATATAAATGGAGAAATCAAAAGAAAACAACAACTAACCTTGTGTACCTTAGATTCACGTTTTTGCCCTTTGGAACCAAAATCAAACAATGACAACAACCAAGCAATGAAAGTAAATAGAGAAAGAAACAAGAGATTTACATGGTTCAGCAAATCTACCTACATCCACACCAGAAGAGAGAGTCTTTTGTATTAGGTTAAGCAATTCACATCACTTTTCCCTCTACAATACGTGATGTTCATCTCACACACTCTAACCCTATCTCTCTTCAATGAGAATTACATAACAAATAAGAATGAGCTTTTTAACTTTGGGCCAAAAACAGTTGGGCCAGAAACATAAGTTACTGGCCTGGGCTAGGCTGACTCAAGCTCACTAGAGCTGTCTCAAGTTCACTAGATAGACCACTTGAGGTGACTACCAATATACTCTAAGCTTACATCTCAAAATAAAGAATACTTAAACTGCTAAATGTGATGTAAAAAACAGTATAAATGGACGATTCTAATCATTTAAAATTTCAGACTGACCCATGATTTGCTAAGTCTCTAAAATATAATATAATCAATGCAAAAAGGAAGAAACTCTTACCTCTTAAGATAGTTCTCTGTGGACTGGCTCCTTAATTCTGTTGGTGCCGGTGTGCTATTCACGGCTTATATGTAGCAGAAGGGTCCATTTTCTGAGGACTCTATCTTGGTTGTAAAAGCACACAACTGATCAAGAAGTGATATGGATCCGAAAATACACAGACCATTCATCGAAGAAATGCTGTGTGGAAGATGACTTATTCCTGTATCCACTACATCTAAAACTTCTAAAAGCTTTAGATTTCCAAATTCCTCTGGCAATTTCTTGAATTGACTACAAAAGTGGAGAAAGAGATATCTCAAACGTTTTCATCTTACAGATGCTGTTTGGAATATCTCCTACAGATGTACACTTTGTCAGGTTCAGCTCCTCTAAACATTCTAATTGCCCAATATCTTCAGGTAACTTCTCAAGAAACTCACAAGTATCAAGTAGTAGACATTTCAAATGCATTAGCATGCAAATGCTATCTGGAAGACGTCTAATAATTGTAGACGACAAACGCAGCCCCTCTAAATTTTCTAACCAACCAAGATTCTCTGGCAACTCTTCAAGATGCTGGCAATCTATAAGGTTTAGAGATTTTAGATGTTTCAACATACAAACGCTATCAGGAAGACATTTGATGTGTGTAGAGTACAAAGTAAGCTCTTCTAAACATTTCAACTGGTCAAGGTCAATGGGCACTTCTGGAATACAGCCCTTAAATGTAAGGTGCCTTAGATGTTGTAAAAAACCAGTTCTTCCTGAAACACTCTCAAGTTTTGTGCAAGGCTGGAGATCTAGAAAGACACCCTTGCGATCAATTGCAGTTTTCGAGGGTCGTTCTTTAGAATAATAAAATGTAAATTGTAGCACTGGTAGATTGCTTGTTGAGTCCCTTAGGAATCCCTTCAAGCACTCCACAGACACAATTAAGTTAGGTATACTAAGAAGCACAAGTGATTCCAATTGTTTGAATAACGAAGAAGATACAGACCATGAGCAACCAACTAAATTTACGAAGATGAGCCTTTCTAGACATCCAGCAGGAGCATGAATTTCTATCAAATCATGACATCTACTAAGATCTAAATTCTCAAGATTAGGAGTCATCACAAGGTCAAGTGTCCTCAACTTTGAATCTCTAAGACCGAGGAACCTGAGCTTCTTAAGAACCTATCATATGCAAAAAGAACACGAATTAGACGAGTATCAGATAACAAATAGCCAAAAAGCATTACAATGAATCACCAACGTACCTTTCTTTCTCCACTTTCCCAAAGTTGCACAACTCTGCTTCCAGCCAATTCAATTCCAACAAGATTATTTGCTAGAAATGTTTGGGGTAAAAAACCAGGGTAAGCACGCCAATACAGAAACTGTAACGAATTCGGAAGGTACTGTTTTGTTTGATCAAACTTCCAGCCACTAGGGAAGCAGTCATGGAGGTTCCCATAAAGAGAAAGATATCTAAGTTTGTTCAGATTTCCAAGTTTTTTTATGATAATTTCAGGACTCAATTCCTTCGGCATTAGCTGCAGTCCTATACATGTTGACGATTCAGTACCCTATAATCCAAAAGCAATCACCAAGAAACTTGTGTCATAGGTAATGAAAATTTGTTAGTTTTAGGAAATTTGATCCTTACCGCATCATCAGATAATAATTCTTCAATTTCCTTGTAAATCCAAAGTCGGCTATGTTTGTTGGTCTCATGGGGGTGCAATCGCCGAACAATACTCCGTCCCAATTCTAGTAATCTATCATGCATGCCCAACCCATTATTTGATATTGTTATGAGAGATTTTTGCTCAAGAATTCTTAAACCATATTCAGCACTAAATCCACAGCTATCAAGCATTCTAATTGCATATTCTTTAGGAAACCCCTTCAAGAAGCATGCAACATCTAAGAACATTTCCTTGTGATCATCCTCAAGGCTATTATAGCTTATTTCCAATACCTCTAGAGTTTCCCGTGATGGAATTGTTTCTAGTCTTTTTAGTGCACCTCTCCATACAAGTTCATTTTCACCACGCAGATGGGAACCCAAAACTTTAATCGTTAAGGGAAGACCAGCAGCATAACGTACTACTTCTGATGACAGCTGTTCAAACCCTTGATCTGGAATATATCTCTTAAATGCATACCTACTAAAGAGGCTCATTGCTTCCTCATCCGACAACAAACTGACATCATGAATCCAGTTCACATTCACTCCATGTGCTAGCAGCACTTTCTCATCTCTTGTTGTAATGATGATTCTACTTCCGTCCTTGAACCAATCACCAGCTAACGCCTCAAGCTGCTTTGCATCATCCACATCGTCTAGAACAAGAAGAACTTTTTTATAGGGTAGCCTCATTCTCATGATTCTTTCCCCTTCATAAACACTTCCCACACGCATGTTTTCATCTTTTAGAACACCTGAAAGGATTCGTTCTTGCAATGACCGAAAACCTTCATTTTTTGAAATTTCCCTTCCATCCTTCTTTTTTGATAGTTCCCTTACGTCCTCAACAAAGAAACTACCTTCAAAATGGGAAGATACTTTATCAAAAATAGCCCCGGCTAATGTTGTCTTCCCAATGCCTCCCATCCCTTTGATCCCTATCATGCGGACTTTATCGTTCAAACCGATTCCCAAAGACGACTCCAGCTCTTGCATCCGGCGATCCATGCCTATCAGATTTTCATCATTTCCCAAATGAATGGAACGTAACTTGAGTGAAATCTCTTCACCAATTTTCTTGATAGCTTCAGCTTCATGCCTGTTGATCAAACAAGACTTAAGTGGTTTGCTTAAGGGGGTTCATTTAGCATCACCCATAGTCCCATACCCAAAGAAGTAAAAAAAGTCAGATGTGGTGAATTGAAGGCTGAAATTTTTTTAAACTTGTAGCGAACATGAAGGAGGTTCAATCAACATTGAGTTAGAATTTTACAACATGACATCAATAACATGGATGACCCTTCTACATCTCCGAGGACCTAGATTAGAAATACAAAATTGAAAGACTTTAAATTAGATATATGATGAAGGAATTTATACCCATTAGAAATGTTTTTCAGATCCCACCCAACCAGATTGCCTGCACTTTCAAGAGCCTTTTCCCATTTCTTAATCTGTTCATTAGACTTATGTTTGTCGATTGCTCTTCCAACTGGTCCACTTCTACTGCGGATGTCGCTGGGCTCCACATCATAAAAGAGCGGGTAAGCAATCTGTTGCTTCTCATCCTGGCACTCCATAATCTTTGTAACCTCCTTCAGACACCAAGACGAAGATGCATAGTTTCTGGAGAAAACAATGATAAAGAACCGCGACTCTTCAATGGCTTTGAAGAGCTCATCGATCCGTTTTCCTTTCTCGAGTTCCTCGTTATCCCTGAAGGTATGAATACCTAGCTGCTTAAGGGAAGTGTAAAGATGATCAACAAAGGTCTTGCGTTCTTCTCCTCTAAAGCTTAAGAACACATGATACTTAAAGCTCTTTTGATTGAATGAAGTTGATCGAAGAAGACGCCATTAAAGGTTTTTTACTTGATGGATCTATAAATGGAATCGTTGTTGGGAGAGATTCTTACCAAATAATTGCAAAGAAATTAGGGATGCATGAACCACGCAACCCAATGATCGGCAAGAGCTAGTAATTTCAACAAAGTGATGACATACATTTCTTAATAATAAACAGTGAAGAAATTCCAAATGCCCCGCCAAATCACAAATAATAATAATAATAATAATAATGATAATAATAATAGTTAAATAAATAAATATATAATCAACCGGTAAACCAAACTTTTGTATTATTATCTATATTAGTGATTACTTCATTGCAAGTTGCAATTATTGGATGGGAAAGTCAACGAAACTTTTGTATTATGTGTTAGAGTAAATTACATTATCCGTCCCTGTGGATTCCAAAATGTAACAGTTTTAGTCCTGAAGTTTCATTTTTTACAATTCTTTCCCTATTTTGTAGTTTCATTGAATCTTTGGTCCCTTGACCTAGCACCAGTTTGGTTGTAACTTTTGTTGACTAAGCAATGCCACATCATCAACTTGTGACAAATTTGTATGTTTCAAGTTGTTAGTAGTGTCCTAGTTTTATGCTTATGCACGTTGAATAAAGCTGGTAGAATTAGTAGAAGTTAGTTCCTATTTTTCTGGTTTATTTTCTTTTAAAAAGTCTTGTACTTTCTAGTTGTTAAGCAAGCAGTGAAATGCAACTTTTCATTCTGGTACTTTACATATCCTTTTCAGTCATGTTTTCTTATGTGGGAGTTCCATGTTTTCATCTTGTGAAAGTCAACAAGTGGTATCAGAGCTTTGCTAAAGATGTCAGAATTGCAGCTGGCAGGAGGAGTCAAGAAGTTAAACCATCAAAACTACAAGTCTTCGTCTACCTGTTTAAGTTCGTATCTACAAGGCCAGGATCAGTGGGAAGTGGTAAAGGGAAATGACACCGTTCAGCCTGCAAGAGAGACACAAGATGGAGCCTTGAGAAAGTGGAAGATACGAGCCGGTAAAGCCTTGTTCATACTAAAGACAATAGTGGAAGAGGATCTGTTAGATTATATTAAAGACTTGGTGAGCGCAAAAGAAGTATGGGACACCTTGGAAGTACTTGTTGGATTTGGTGTCTAAGCCCATAACTATAACTGGGTTGTACTTGACCCGATTGTAGCATGGTCCTTTTGGTTTGCCTTCACTAGTGCAATTTGATAGGATGGACTTTTGAGAATAAAGTTATTTATGATTTATTAATGTATTACAAGTATAATATATTAATATGAAATCATGTTATTTAATTAGTATTGATTAAGAATTAATTTGGAATTAATTTTGTGGTCAAAAGAGACTAATTAAATATATGGGGATTGATTATGTAAATCAATCATTCTTATAGTGTGGGCCAATGATCTATGATTATTTAGTTGGGCTAAAACAATGAGATAATCCATGGATAGTCTATGGAGGTTAAACCCATGGAGCATAAGAATGTGAAAGGTTATGGAGCATTAGGGTTTACATGAATGTAACCCTAGCTTAGCAACACTATAAAATGCATCCCCTGGAGCCAAAATCGGTTAGACATACATACCTATTCATTCTAAGAGAGTGAAGTTGATTTTGTGCTAAGTAACTTATTCTCTCAAGCCTCCTCTTGCATATTGTTGTTTGTGAACCATTAGAGGCATCACACTTGAGGTGCTCAAGCTTTCAAAGGTCAAGAACTACAAGTCCTTCTAAGAGGTAAGTCATCTAACTAGTTATATTGTTCATTTGGCAATTTGTATGCTAGTTAGGACAATGCTTTGGAAAATGAAAATATGCATGTATAATTAGAGAAAACATAGATCCAAAACATTTAGGGTTGCATGTGCACCATAGGAGTGTTATAGTGCTCAAAACCCAACAGTGGTGTCAGCGCCTATGATTGTTTTCTGTTATACTTGATGCTTATTGGTTTTCAAAGTTGAAAAAAATCGATTTTCTGCCTTCTGACTGGTGAACTCGCCGAGTCCACTGGCTGACTCGACAAGTCCACCCAGTAATAGACCAACTCGACGAGTCCAGTTCATGTACTCGCCGAGTTGGTGCTCCTGTGTGCAGAATTTCGAGTTTTTGGCCAGAATTGGATTAGGATCATTACCCTAAACTGTTTTTTGAACCATGAAATCTGTTTTTGATATGGTAATGATCATGCTTGTCCAATTAAAAGATAATTCACTACTAGAAAAACAGCATTTTACGACGCGCAATGCGTGTCGTAAAACGCTCAGACGACGCGCAAATGCGTGTCAAGGAAGGCCCTGTCATAACGAGAGACGACACGCTTTTACGCGTCGTCTATTTACGACGCGCATTTATGACACACATTTACGACGCGCAGTTATGACACACAATGCGTATCAAGGAAGGCCCTGTCATAAAGGAAGACGACACGCATCTGCGTGTCGTAATCTTACGACGCACGTGTTTATGACACGCAATGCGTATCAAGGAAGCCCCTGTCATAAATGAAGATGACACACATTTGCGTGTCATAAACTTCAGTTACTATTTTCGATATGCATTTACAACGCATCTTTACGATACTCATTTATGCATAATACAAAAATATGTAAACAAATATATACCAAAACAATCAATTTCATCCAATAACATCATGTCAAACAAGTTATCAAAAAATTGTAATACATTGATATTAAGGGGATCTAATTGTACATTGTTATTAAGGGGTTTTCCCTAACTATATAACATGATACTACATCCCTAACTATATAACCCGATCCTTCGTGTCATTGGCTTGCCACCTGGTGTACCGTGTAAAAATGTTAAAAAGTATTTGAATGACCTAATCATCTTTAAATAACATCAAATCAAGTACCTTATAAGCAAGTGGGAGTATTGAAGTCCCCGAATTTGCATACATGAGCCTTAAAATCCTTGGCTATCTGCACAACAAGCTAGTTTCCACCAGCACCATGGGCAAATATGTCCAAAAACTATTTGAATGACCTAATCATCTTTAAATAACATCAAATCAGCACCAATTCTCTATATCTTCTTCATTTAGACCAAAAAAACAATTAAAAAACCTTGAAAACACACATAAGTATGTACCACAGATACAAAATAACAACTTAATTGCCAAATAAAATTACTTTACCTGCACACTCATAAGCAATCAACAATTAGCTCTTGAGCTATCAATTGATTTCACTCATATTTACCGAATGATAGGTACCTGACAGAAGACAAATGAGTTAACAATAAAAATAAAAACTACTTACTTAACTACAATTTTAATCCTCTTAAAATTTTGATTATCTTTTGTAAATTTTTCTCAATTTAAATCAAGGGCAGGACACAAGCAATATAAGTAAGGGGGGCTAAACAAAGACAAATTCAGATATTTTTTCTGATTTTTAATTAATTGATTAAAAATGACGAGTTTAAAATAAATGGTTTAAATAAATAGACTTGTTTGAATGCAAATGCAACAGAGAAAACTCCTGGTTAGACCAGCCCACCAAATTACCAACTAATTAAATTATTAAATTGTGGTTAGATAAATGAAATTTTAAAATAGAAAAGAAATAGATTGGTTAATTTGTGTGTGTGTGTTCACCTGGTGTTGTGTTGAGATTTTTGATGACTCACCCCTGCTTCTGTACATGTAATTGGAAATAATAGAAAAGGGAAACAAAAAAGCAACACACCCAACCAAATATTAACAGCATCATGGTGTTGTAAAGGCCAATTTTGGTCCAAATACTCTGACACGAAAATGATAGTATGAGTATATATACAAGGGTAAAACGGTCATTTACTCATATCCAAACATCACTTACTGTTTTTATCCATGCAACACATAAGTGTCATTAAATCAGGAATCATTAAATCAGCTAAAGATAGAGTCAAGAAACCTCCACTTAATCCAGCACTAAAATAAGCATGCATTCAGAAAGCTGCAGGGGTGAGTCACAATTCAAGAATCTGTTAAAATTTGAGGAAAAAAATCAAAATCAAAATCTAGAATCATGATGATACAGAAGCAGTTACAGATACTTCAGTCCCAGTTGACTTTTCTTTCTTCTTTGGTGTATACTTGTTTGCGTATACTTTCATCATCATCTGACAACTTGTCACTTATGGAAGCTAACACGTTCAACCAAAACAATATTAGAAAACAAGGTTAAATGTGAAACATAACAATGTAATAATTATCAAAGTACATAGTTTTTTCTTGCATTTAGCTCTATGAGATATTAAATAACCTGAAGAGTTACCAAGTAATTGAGTAGCTTCTGTTCTTAAAGGATCAGATAACCAACATAGCTTGGCATATTCAACAACTGACATCCGGACTTCAACAACTTTATCATTAAATTTCTTCAAAAACTCCAAAAAGATTGGATGAAATGTCTGAGGGATGGAAGATCCCTTGATAGAAAAAAGATCTCCCACCAGTTTGACTGCCTTTAAATGAAGGTCTATTTTATCTGTCTATAAAATATAATTACCAAAATTTAGCTTTACCTTTACTTGCAAAAAATGAACCAAATAAATATAATTTTACTAAAGATATACAAAAATTATGTGACTACTGATTACCAGTAGCTCTCTTTTAAGGTTTGGGACAATTTTTGATAAGGTCTGAGGGGCACAACGGTAAATATCATAGATAACTTCATGGTAATCAATTTGAGGATTCGAAGAACTGTTATCTCCTGACATTGATGATAAAATAAACTTCTTAATTCCAGGTTCAAGTATTCCAGCACTTTGCTTTATAACATTCATGGAATGTGTCCTTGCAGCTGAAGTTATATCCCTTTAATGGTAAAGTAAGAAATAACATTTATGTTGTTCGAGGAAAACAGTATTTGCCTCCATCGGAGATTTGTCATGCAACTGACTACAAAAGAGAAAACCCAGAATTTATTTCACAATACATAAAAAATAAAAAGATTTAATGCTCTAAAAGGTAATTAAAAAATCCATTTAACAACTTGAAAGTAGGACGCTCTGCTTCAAGGACACCGGAAATCAGTTTTTCACCATCAGTGACAGGAGCTGGCCTTGATGCCACTTTATGGAAGAATCTCATCTGTAAAAAGAAAAAAATATGATTTTTTTATTGAGAAATAAAAAAAATTATAAAAAATACAACTATCACATTAATTAATTTGCTTGTTGGGATACCAAGCATCGGTGTGAGTCCGGGTTTCCAGCATCCAATCGTTGTAGTTGCTTCAGGGCCTGATGAAACACAAAAGTTAGTTAAGTTATTATCCAAATCAAATAAAAGAAACTAGTTCTTTTTTTTTTTTTTTAATTTCCCTCCAAATTTTTATTTGAAATAAGATTACCTGTAATGCAAGCAAGATCTTTTGTTTTCGCATATTTACTTCAAAAGAAAGCAAATGTGTCTACAAGGAATCAGATGAATGTTTTTGAAGCAGCTTTAGATACTTTCCAGGTTCCATTAATGGATCTTCAGTCTAACATTTACATTTAGAAAAGATTACAAGAGTAACTCGATCAAGCAATCTATTGGGGGGGGGGGGGGGTACCTACAATAGCTTCTCTCCATGTGGATCTGGATCAACTGGCTTGACATTTCGTTTCCCAGACTTAGAAACACCACCCACTGCTTCCTCACTTTTCACTTCTGCCTCCTTAAGAAAACATAAAACAAAATAATTATTAAACAAAAAAAACATTTTTTGTATTGTAACATCCCGTTATTTTCTGTTTGTAAAGTCAACTCTAGTCAACCAAAGTCAAACAAAGGTCAACTAAAGTCCTTTTTATTGTTTGGGTTTATTTGGGTTATAATAATAACATTTATTTGTTAAAATCCTTAAAATGTCTACAATTTAATTTTGAAGGAAAAGGCTTAAAAACCGAGAAACTTTGCATCTTATTCCTTTGCTTCGGACCGCAAATACTTCGGACCGCAAAGAGTTTACGGTCGTACACTCCTCGGACCGTACACTCCTCGCAGCCGTATACTCCTCGCAGCCGTAAACTACTTCGGCCGTAGACTCTAACCGACTTCGGACCGTAAACGAGGTTCACGGCTGTAAACCCTCGGACCGTGAACCCTCGCATATATATATATATATATATATATAATATATATATATATATATATATATATATATATATATATATATATATATATATATATATATATATATATATATAAGATTTCCTTCATTATTCACCATTTCTCACACTTTCACCTCAAGAAATCCAATTCTCTCTCAACTATCATCAAGATTCTCACCTTGATCTTCAAATAAGTAAGTGTTTCTTCCATTTATTAGTTGATGTCTTGCTTAATCTAGTGAAACCCTATGATTTCATCCATTAAATCATCTCTTTTGGTTAGATCTTCAAGAACACCAAGAACACCAAGAACACACACTAGTTCTTTAGACCGTGAATACCCAATTCAAGCTTCAAAACGTAAGTATTCTTCCATATGCTAGTTATCCTATAGAAGCTCTTAACTTACACCCTTGAAAACAACTGTTTCCAAGAACAATAAGAGTTTACGGTCATAAGCATCTCCCTTGGCCGTAAACTCCTATGAAGAACATCATTGGCCGTACACTCCATGACCGTACACCCATGGCTGTACACTCCATTGTGTGGCCGTACACACCCCTTTGATCAATCATATGTGATTGATACACTTAGTCCAAGTGTTTCCTAGTCCCGGAGGGTGTTTCCTTGCGTGTAGTTGCTTCTAAACCCTATATTCATGCCAATATATGCCATTACATGTCATTTAGGATTCGTTTGTGTCTCGGGACTTCATTCGTGGAACTTCTCATCGTTACGTGAAGCTGCAATTGAATCACCCACATAAGGTGAGTTCATACCCCTATAATCAATCTTTCAACTGTTTTAAATACTTTTAAGGGGGGGGGGGGGGGGATACAAGTTGAACACAATGATAATTGTGTAAATGTTTTGTTATAAACATCATTTTAAAGGATTGCTTATGTTTCATGAGTAATCAAAACATTTCAAAAACTCTTTTTAAGTTATGTTACTTTATAGTTTATAAAACTCCGTTTTTAAAGTACAATCATAACTTAGTAAATAAATGAGTCTTTTATTCAAGTCAGTAACAGTTCAAGTAAACATACTAGTAAACTATAATAGGTATAGTTTAGAGGTTCAGTTCATACTAGATACTAGAACATACTATAAAGAGAAACAGGGAGGAAGATACAATACACAATAACATAGAGAACATACTATAAAGAGAATCAGGGAGGAAGATACAATACACGATAACAGAAGGAACATACTATAACTATAACAGAAGAACAAATCATGAAGTAACACAGGAATTCCGAGTTTGCATAAACCAAGGTACGAATACCACATACCAAGGTTAGCAAACACGAGGTAATACGTCATACCGGGTTTATACTAACAAAGGTACAAATACAACGTATTAGGGTTAGCAAACTTGAAGAATGACACATACGCCATGCCGGGTTATACTAATAAAGGTACGAATATCACGTACCACGGTTAGCAAACACAAAGTATGATACAGGAAACACATAAACATATGCAAAACTCACAATAAATAAGACAATAATACAGAATACCGGATTTGCATAAACCAAGGTACGAATACCACATACCAAGGTTAGCAAACACGAGGTAATACGTCATACCGGGTTTATACTAACAAAGGTACAAATACAACGTACCAGGGTTAACAAACTTGAAGAATGACACATACGTCATACCGGGTTATACTAATAAAGGTACGAATACCTTGTACCAAGGTTAGCAAACACGAAGTATGATACAGGAAACACATAAACATATGAAAAACTCACAACAGTATCAAACTCACAACATTATCAACTGATGCGTTAAGAGTACAAGATTACATTACTTCTAATAGTTGTCCAAACATTAGAATAACGCCACATAATTTGCTCGTAACATGAATAGTCAGTTAGATGGGGAACCATAATGCTAACTTTATGATTCCTCGGTAGATACATCAGGGATATATATTGAGTCCAACAGATAGTAGGATGTGTGCTTTCCGCTTCATTTCCTGTTCCTTGTTTGTTTGTGGGCTTAGAGCAGATGCACCCAGTCTACTATCTATTCGATCTTAAATATATATATATATATATATATATATATATATATATATATATATATATATATATATATATTCCGTATACACTAAGTAATCATAAGGAGTACCAGGTATGGGTCAGGTCATACTATATAAATTCAATACACCGTTTTCTAGTACAAAAACATACTTTCAGATAGAATATTGAGTAAACTAAACTAGAAACTTATCAGTGAAAGATGTAATCCATTTTATTAAATCAATAAAACTTAAAGGACCTTAAGTGGTTAATTCCATACTACCTTAGTTTACACATCAGGTTATATATAAGTAATATCCGACAGATAGTTAGATGTGTGCTTTCCGCCTTACTTCCTGTTCCTTGTTTGGTTGTGGGCTTAGGGCAGATTCATACAATTAATTATCTGTTCGATATTAGATTATATATAACTAGTGTAAACTAAGTGATTATAGAAGGAACTATTGTGGTTACCATTTTTACTGAAGGAATTATTACAGTTAACTCCGTGAGTAACAAATGAATGCACCAGAGTTATATACAATGAAGATCTAACAATCAATGAGATGTGTGACTTCTGCTTCATTCCCTGTTCCTTTTTTGGTGGTGGGTTTAGGGCAGATACACACAATCCATTGTTTGTTTGATCTGTATTCTATATAATTTATATTCATTTAGTACTCATAGAAAGAATTGTAGGGCCATTTATACTTATTTTCCATCATATCAGAAGGTATAGGACCTTCTGGAGGAATATGCAAACATTTCTAAAAGAAATTTCAACTTAATTTACATCACTTAAATACTTATGAACTCACCAGCTTAAATGCTTATCTACTCTTTCAAAATAACTTGTATTCTCAGGAAGCTAGTAGACAGGTATGCACGCTGAGATTCAGAAGATGGAGCATGATAGCTTCATGTCTTGTTTTGTCATTTACTTTTGTAATCTATCTTATGTGAATCACATACTTTGTAAACATTTTATTTCTAATGAAATGGTTGTTTATTACTTTGATTACTATGATGCATGTCTTGTGATACTGAACATAACGTCCTCCGCCCTCGAACGTTTCCGCCGTCCCGGTTTGGGGGTGTGACATGTATCCATAAAATGTAAAGAATTTATACTTTCTTAGCTCGTGCTTTAGCCTTCCTCTATTTTTGCCTCAATTTCTTTTTCTGAGAAGCAGGTAGTTTTGCCAGATCATCGTCTTCTTCGATAGATGACTTTGAAGGAGAATCATACAGCTTAATATAACATCTGCATCAAACAATACAAAAAGAAAATCAAATTTCAAAAGGTAATGAGAGGTTTTACAAATGTAACTGAATCATCAACATTACCTTATTGCTCCACCTGCTGCCTTCCTAAAGTAATTATGTGCATGAAGTCGATCTTGAAACCTTAACATTTCAATATATGCACGCATAGTCATTTTTCTTAAACAATAAGAATGGAAATCAAATTGACTATAGCATTCAGAAGAGGCTGCATAGAGTCCATACTTCATAATCATTAGAAAAAGTAACCGCCCGAGAGTTGAAAACCAACAAGATTCAGGTTATTAAAAGTCAAAAAAAATTATAAAAAATAAACTGAAAAGAATAGAATAGAAAAAAAAACTAACTTGTACCATTGCTTGGTGATTTCTTAATTAACATAACATCACACCATCATTTTACATAAATAATACTAGTGATTAATAGGAATAACCGACTATTTGAAAAAGCAACATGAGAAAGCATATATGCAGCTATGTGAACTGGACTAGCATATTTATCATCAATCACAAGAACTTCAGATAGCCCTGCAGGCATGTCAAGGGATACTATAGCCTCACTGTTCTGTCAAGTGTCAATATTCAAATGCAGTTACTATGCAAGCACCCAAGGTAGCTCCTCCAGACATGATATGCATGGACAAATTCTTAGTTCAAAGTACATATGTCCCAGAGGGAACAAAGGAGGAAGATGTCACCTCTAACATGGTTGTTTTTTTTTCTGAAAATGTTTTAAGTTCTTTTTTTAATAGTAATTTCTTTACCTGATTTATAAATTTGAACAGTTTATTAGAGATGGTAAAGTTGTTGATGAAAAGAGGCTTAAAGTAATCCTCATATCTTCACCAGACTCACCTGAATCATCACCAATCAATGAAACATTATGGATTGTGTAGAAAGATGATGCTAGAGAAGTGAAAGATGAATTTGTTCAAAAACATACCTCTAATTCCAAATCGAGCAGCCCAGTAA